CTTTGCAAATTAGTATACGGCCTCTTTAATGCAATTTTTAAATTGGAACATATTGCTCATTTAATTATAATGTTATCGGTGTCTATAAGATGATTAATTATTTGCCATTTGAACTATGACTTCACAATTATTTTTTTCACAGTTATTCTTCAAAATGGCAGTAATAACTAATATTCTATTAACATAAAAACAAAGAAAGTAACGAAACCACAGCTCAAGTGACGATAAAGCTACTATACCCATTCAGACAAGAAACGTTTTAGTCGAACTAATTTTATTTTATAGTTATAAAATGATTGGTAAAGTGAATTGTGTGCCAGTGAATTCCTGAGCATATGTTTACAATGCATATTTTATTCTGTAGTTATAAAATATGAGTAGAAGTGAAATATTAAGCGTTAGCAGGATACTGGTGAGCGAGGAAGTTGCAGAAATGAATAGATTGCACAACTAAAATGATGTACAGAAAATATAATAAGTGTAATTAATTTCAATGAAAGTACAATAAGTGGCTAAAATGAGATTATAAATCATGTGTATAAAGTTTTTTGACAAAGAAGGTTTTTGAAATATCTAGCACACGTTCATACCAATAATCGAAACATAACATACATGCAATCACATGAGTAAAAATTTATCCCTTAAAAAATTATTATAAAATTTCTCACACGGTTTTTAATTTTGCGATCGTTGTTCGTAGACATATATACTTCCAGTTACCAAAATTACTGTAATAACGCAAATAAAAATTGGTTTTGTAAAAATTATAGAATCTGACGTTTTATACGTCCAAAGGCCCACACAGTTATATTCATTAGAAGCGTGCATTCATTTAAAAATTAAAAAATAAGGAGTTTGACTCTTATTGAACATAAATTGACCGATATATTTAATTTGAAATTTTGAAAATTCAGAGATTCTATGCAAACTGAAGAGCGAAATATTTTTAATTTGTACAGAACTAAAATCTAAATATCAATTTATAAAAATTTCTGATGTTCATAAATTAAGACACGAGGAACGATACGTAGACTTTTATAAAAGGTTTTGATCCCAAAGAGATCATTCGAGTTCTAGAAAACAATAGGAGCTTCAAGTATTGCGATATCAGACAACTCGTAACATTATTTGCCTAAATTAAAAAGGAAAAATACTTCCAGTACAGTGAATTCTTTCATATGATTTTTTGATTATTATCTTAAAGTAATAATGCTGTATTATCGTATTTTTAACATATGAAAGGCTTTAAATTATTTCTGTGAAAATGCTCTTAGCATATCAAATGTAACAAAATTACAAATTAAAGAATGTTATTCACTAATAAATCATAAAGGAATTTCCTTGAATGGTATTAAATGGGAGAAAATATCAACCTTGACTTAGATTTATTTACTTTTTATCCAACTCCTCAAGGACAGAGATAAATTATGTTTTCTGGCGTTGAAAAATTTACAGAAATCTTTATAATTAAATAGGTCGATTAATTTCGTGGGATGGAAATGCAAACTTCGTGGGATGCAAACTTTTTTGTTTTATTTATTTTTTTTAATAACATTTACTAAATATAAGCATATGAACCGGGAGACCGTATAAAAAGTTAGAAACCACGTTTTTCACAAAACTGAGTTTTTAAAATTTAAAAATACCATAACTTAAATATTTACGTAATTTAAAATATTTTTTTAAGCAGGAAGGAGCACGTGTCTATAGCAACCAGTTGCGAAAACAAAGGTTGCTTAATGACTTGCAATTAGGATGTATGTACTTCCTCAAAAACGCACGCAAATTGGTTAAGGATATGTCGAAATATATTCGTCATATTAACTATGAATTGATAAAATATAAATTAATTTCCTTTTGCTTACATGCAAAGTAAAAAAGCGAAAAAAGAAAGAAACGGTTTCAGATTTGAAAAGGAAATATTGCGTTAAAATATGACATTTTTATGATAGTGATCGCATTCTGTTTTCAGTGTTATTAGAGTCATTCAAAATCTGAAATGGTTTTATTTTCCAAAGATAAACAATTGAAGTTTTCCTGTGTTGGCGATTAGAAGTATTACTCTGAAAAAAATGTTATGAAAGCAGTCGGAAATGTTAAATTACGTTTAGCATAGTCATAAAACTTCATACTCCAAAAATTTCATATCATGTTCTTAGTATGTATACTATACTATTCAGGATTCACGAAGTGACTGTTCTGTACAATTAGGTATACAAAAATTGAAACATATCATGCTTTGAATATTTTAATATTTTATGTTTTTAGAATCATATAATAGCAAACAAACATAGCACAAATAATTGCTCACATAAATATTCTCGTTCTTGATCGAAGTGAGGATTTGCTACATTTGAATAAAGTTTTATGTTTTTATTTTATTTGATGACAATAATAAGATAAACAATTGAAGTTTTCCTGTGTTGGCGATTAGAAGTATTACTCTGAAAAAAATGTTATGAAAGCAGTCGGAAATGTTAAATTACGTTTAGCATAGTCATAAAACTTCAACTCCAAAAATTTCATATCATGTTCTTAGTATGTATATTATACTATCAGGATTCACGAAGTGACTGTTCTGTACAATTAGGTATACCAAAATTGAAACATATATGCTTTGAATATTTTAATATTTTAAGTTTTTTAGAATCATATAATAGCAAACAAACATAGCACAAAATAATTGCTCACATAAATATTCTCGTTCTTGATCGAAGTGAGGATTTGCTACATTTGAATAAAGTTTTATGTTTTTATTTTATTTGATGACAATAATAATAATATTAACTGTTAACTGAAAACTTCAAGCTACAGATAACATCTTGAAGAGTTTACCATTGAAATATCAGAGTTGGGGGTGGGGAAATGTAAAAATTATAACATTTAAAAGGAAATGAAATCTTGATCTTGGTTTGCAGATCAAGATGTTTCAGTTTAACATCTGAAATGATTTTTAAGCTAAACAATTTGATAAGCCTGCTAAGATTAACCCCATAGAAATTTAAAATATGGAATATACATTTATATATTTAAAATGAGTTCTTTAAAATGGCTAAACCAAATGGCAGAAAAAAACTACTATGATACTATTTCACTGCAATGTAATTTAATGTTACATGATCCATTATTTAAAAAAGAATGCATGATTATTATGGACGAAATTATGTATTTATTGCACTGGATTGCGGATCGCTTTAGCGCGAGACTTGCTAGAAATATTTCTTTTCAATTTATTTTACTTGGTTACCATAGCTTTGAACTGAAAACAGTGAAAATAGTAAACAGTAAACAATGAGGTTTTCCTTGAAATATTTGTAATCAATGAAAGTTGACAGTCTCTCCTCTGAAGCTTGCAGTACATGTGAAACTATAAATGCGCTTAGACTATTTTGTAAAACTGTATATGCAAGAAATAAAAATATATACCAAAAGGAACTTAAATTTTTAAAATTCAATTTCTCGTTATCGTTTATGCACACAATAGTGCACTTTGCTACGGCAATAGGAGAGTCTTCTTTAACAGCAAACTATAATAGTCTCTTTTCGTCGAAAGAATTTGCGTATGAAGGAGAATGACTATGACCTCTGCTTTTGGAAATGAATTGAGGTCTTTTATGGCAAATTGGGGCGAAATGAAAGCTGAATTGTAACACTCATTAAACGCTTAAAATTCAGCCTGTTTAATGATCGAGAAGAACATTTTAGAACTTTTCTTTATATAATATATCAAGAATATTTTACACTTTATTAATCTATTTTAAGCTGCTATTTTGCAGTTGCTATATTTCACTGAGCCGCCTTGTAATACAGAAATCAGTAATGCGAAGTTCACATAGGATCAATGCATAATATACATAATACAAATATCGGTTGATTAAAAATATGTAAAATAATTTTTTCAAAAATCTAGGATTTATTCCTCTTACGTATATTTGAACAAGAATAGCATATTTATATCTTACTTTGCATATTAATAGCTTACTTCATTTACTTTGTATAAACATATTTAATCTAAACAGATACGTAATTTGTCATGAGTATAGAAATGAAAATACTATCTTTTAGTCTTTCAAACATTTATACGCAGCTATAATTTAATAAATATTTATACGCAGCTATAGTTCCACATAATTATCGCTTTCTATAAATATTTTCATATAAACTGAACATAAAAAGCGGACAGTTTTTAATAATTGCATAGAAATTTATGTATTACAGTAAGCTTTTTATAATAATTTAAAATGTTAATTTTATAAGTTTTTTTACAATTTGCTTCATTTTAATAAAGAAATGAAAGTTATCTTAAAGAAAAAAGTGCATCAACATCAATTTGACATTTACATTTGTTTTTTTAACACTGTATTTCAGTAGCGCTATGCAAAATTCCTATCCTTAACAAACCAACGAAACGTAAAATTGAATAATCATTGTTATTGCTGCTGTTTCATTATTATGCTTATAGTATGAGTCATTAGTTCTATAAATTAAAAATATGAGTAATTTTATTCAAAGGAAGAAATTTAAAGCAGTGCGTTTAGAACAGGAATAGAATCACGATTTAAAAGTGATTTGCCAGCAACTGATAATCATAAATTTATACAAGTTTAGTTTATTAAACGAATTAACTCTTAAGCAACCGAAGAACCTAAATGTCTTATTCGGCTAACCGTCTGTTTTTCTTTAATTTATGAATTACTTAATTGTTTAAGTATTTTACAAATTTTGTCATGATTTTTTTAAAATCGGTTATATTGAATTTTTATAGTTATGTTTTCTGAATGAATTTATTGAGAAAATTCGAATATTTTCCTAACTATCAATCTTATTTCACGATGTAAACACAATCATCAGACTGATGAGAAGAACAAGTTTTCTGTTCTTTTCACGATGAAAAAAAAAACTAATTTATTTTTCAACAAAAGCGAAAATTTAATACAGAATGATTCTTTAAAAAACGAAGAAATTAAATTCGGAAGCGGCATTAAACACTCTTTACTCACCATCAACAGACACATTTCCGCGTGCAGTTCGTCATGCGACAGTTAGGCTTGGCCTTGACCTTCTCCGACTAGCAACATATTGGAGCAGCGGCTCAAACTGAAATGGCAGCATCCATGGCAGCTCGAATATCTGTGGGCCATAAGAAGGCCCGAGGGTGCAGCATCAGGTTGGTTTTTCTGACCTCCTCTACTAGAAAAGTAATCGCGCAGGTTTCTGGAAACTCGGTTTTAACGCCGATCATTTGGCGCGCGCGAAGCATTTGCTTTCTTCTTCCCTCAAAGAATCAGGTTTTCCGACAATTTGAAACGCAAGCGTAATTTTTCGTTGGTGGAGGATTGGATAATTCCCCGCCTTTGCGATGAAAGCGTAATTAATATCGAATTGAGGCTGAACTGTCAATATGTCTTTTGAATGGCTCAAGAAATAGAAGGTAGATTTAATTCACCTAGTTTTCGTCAACGTTCGTTTTCCTATTTCGGTGGAAAACTGAGCCTTGTTTATTTATTTCTATACACATTTTTTTTTTTAATCAGAAGTTTTGAAAAATATTTTATTTGAAAATTTAGCAGCTGTGACTGCAATATTAAAGAGGAAAAAGTGCGACAAATAGAATTTCTGCATTTTGTGGGCCGGGGGAGGTACTGTAGATTGCATTGGGAGTAAAGATAAATTTCTTTATTAAAATTACATTTAATTTATTTATTTATTGTCATTTCTTAGTTATTTCAAAATGAAAGAATATTTTGTTTACTGATTTTTATTTATCCCTTCTTATTCCAAATAGCAGAACTCTAACATTTAATAAAATGTAGGATTTCTTTGTTTTGCTTTCCATTTTGTCATTCGTATTTCTTTTCCTATGGCTTTTCTTTTACATGAGTTTTAATACTATTTGACATTTTGCTGCTCTGTTGTAGATTAAATTTAACTTTTTTTCTATTTCTTGTTTTCTTTGATAAATTATTATAATTTAAGACACAATAACACGCCGAATAAATACTAATTCAGAAGTCAAACAACAAAATTTGGTAAATATAACGCTGATTTTTGTTGTTTGACTTCTGAATTAGTATTATAATTTGATATGATGTTTCTAATTCAATTCCTTTCCAAATCTTTCAATGCACATTCAGTGTTTTTACGAAACTTAAGAAAGTTATTATCAATTTTAGACACAATACTTAATTACCTTCGCCTCGTGCTGCTCCTATAATGGCTTTATCATCATCCGAATTATGATGTGTGTTGGCAAAAGATAATTATTGACATCATTTGAGAGAATATCTGAAATCTGCGACGCGAGTGGATATTCATATAAGATGAAGAGATGGTGAGTTGATGCAGTGATTACCCTGGTCTTCCAATTTAATCACATGTGCCTTTTTCTTGAGAGATTTGTCAAGAATATTGTCTTTATTCCTGCACTCCCAGCTAGCGTTCACAGTTTTGAAAACTGTTTAACTCACAGTTCTCAACCAAGGGAGGTAGGGAAATTTCATAGTCTGAAGAGGGATTGCGATGAGCCTGACTCAAAATATTTCCTGCTCTGCCGTTAAAAAATTATCTAAATCTAAAAAAGGCGGAGTGATTTTCAAGCAATAATGAAAGGAGTGCATAGGAAAAAAAAAAAAAGGTTGAAAACCACTGTTGCTATGCTGTGCTAACTGTGCTATACTGTGGCTGGGCTCGACCGCGACATATTGATACAATTGTGGGACGGAGGGGATTTTCGCATAAATATCTACTGTTTCAGCAAATGCGAACGCAATGAATTTTTATGAAGGATGTAAAAAATTGAATTTCGCTTCCTTTTCCGTATAGGAAAATTTGGTATTAGCTAATTAATTTTTCTGTAAAAAAATTTTTAAATGTTTTTAACCTTATGTCAAGATGTTTATGAAGTATTTTTAGAATGAATAACTCTGCATTTACATGGCTTTAAATGAATGGGAAAAATTAATAGTTCATATCACTTATTTATTTGTTTTGCAATGGATTTAATAAATAAAAATTTAGGTGATTTTCGAGCATACTTCTTATAATAAAATAAGCAAAAATTTTTATAATATTGTTACGTAATTTCTCTTTCTTCTGATTATTCTGACACCAGTTGTACATTATTTTCTTCCTTCACGTCAGTCCGGGGTTCGTAGATTTGGGGTGAATAACGGCGACGCTTGATGAAGTATCGAAACACACTTTATTGGCCGGTATTAATCAGGACAGCCTCCAAAAACACGTTTCACAGTCGTCGAAGATCTACTATAAACACGCTGGAACAATCAGCGACACAGCCTTCACACTGTTAGGCAATAACGGTGGAGACAGCTTCCTGCAAAGCACCTAACTCTGCTTTCCGGAGTACAGCTCCCGACTCTGCTTGGTCGTTCTGGGAACTCCACGTACTCTCGAGACTCTCCACGCTACAACTCGCAATGCACTCGACGACACACGAGCACAGCTCCTGACTCTTCGGTTCAGTCTTTCCCGGAGCTCAACACGCTCTCTCGACGATGCACTAACCGCGATACACTAACAGTGGACTCTAGTACTACTCCTTCAGTGGACTCTACGACCCACTCGGCACTCGCTGCCCGGCTGTCAACTCGATCGACTCCGCAGGGATTGACTCGCTAGACGAGGCACACACACTCTCGATGAGAGACACCCTTTTCCTGACGATGAAGCACACTTACTGACTGCAGACCAGCACGGTTTATATAGCTTTCGGCTTGTGTTCTGGAACATTCTGGACTAAGCCGGTAAGAATTCGTTCCAGAAGGTTCTCCAACCGTCCATGGTATATAGCCAATTTTGTCACCAAATGGGCGATTTCTCACCAAATCCGGCAACCCTGCCTTCCCTTGCCATTTTATGGCAACCCTAAAACTGCTCTGCGGGGAAGCCATCTCACCGCAACTTTACATTTCGTAACAATATATAAGCAAAAAAGGGCACGATTTACAGCAGTAATATAGCGCATCTCTCAACTTTTTTTATATATATAATTTGCTATCCTTTTGCCAATTATTTCAAAATAGTTCAGTTCTTGATCAGTGCTGCCAGTTCTTGCTATTTTTCGCAAATTTGCTACTTCTGGCAAATCTATGCTACTAAAATTTATGTTTCTGCGATTTTGCGAATTTTATCCTACTCCATTATTTTCATGTTTTACTTTTTGATACTTTATATTTTTTAATGTGCCATAAAATGTGTACCTGTTAATATAATGCATCTATTAAAATTAATTTATAATAAAACTTAATTATTTATCTGACTCAAATAAAAGATGGCACTTAGCAATCCTATGATTCCGACTGTATGCTATCATCCGATTATATCCTATGATTAGGAATCTGATATTAACCATTACCAGAAGATTTCCTTTTTTAAAAACTAATTCGAAAATTATACAAGTTGAGAAATAAAAAAATCCCCAAATCTTATTTTTTTATAGCAGATTCTTGAAAGGAAATATTGTGTTTTATTTCGTTCTTTCATTTATTCCCTGAAAAATTAGCTTTGGATTTATGAAGTTACCAGAATCATATTTTTTAAATAGGAATTCTTTTTTTTTTTTATTAAATTTTGACTCTCAGTTTTATAAGGTTAGGATATGTTCCGTGACTGATAATTATTAAACTTTGTTCTTTCCCTCTCTGTTTCGCTGCGCGCTGTGGTCCACAGTGGACGGTCACGGCCATTTGAAAATGAAATCATTGACGCAGCTATTTATTAGTAAATACTCGTTTGTCAAAATAATACATTGCTATGTTGTTGCCGGGTTGAATAGAAAACTCTGACCAGAAACTTCGTGGGTGGTTTCTAATCATCGTCATTATCTCCTATAGCGATCTTGACAGGATGTGAAGGGTTGCATTAGCTTTATAGATTGATTTCGCTTATAAGTTTGACTTCGCTTTCACTTTTTCAACTAATAGTCAAACCCAAGTTTTAAGATTTTTAGAAAACGATTTTTAAGAGTCTAGCGATGCTTGTCGTAAACTAAATGGCCCATCTTACTCTAATTTAATGACAAACACTGAAAATTTAAAACTAGACATTGGTACTTACTTCTTAAGAGATTAAGGGTGAAGATCGTCATGTAACGTTATCGCCTCAGAATCCGATTAATAAATATGTTTCAGTTTGCATACTTAATCTGCAGTCGAAATCTCGACGTCAAGCCATCTAAATTGAAACCGGTAAAATGTATCAGCAGGAAAGCTTGCAAGAAAGATATCACTGTGGTTGTAATAGGATGATGGGATAGCATCGTGATTGATGGACGTTACAGATGTTGAACAATGCCACATGTCGAACAACTGCTGTTGTAAACAGATTATTGAATGACATGCTCGTTCTCAAATGGGAGACTTTGCTAGAATCCTCTATGAAAGCATCCCTTATATAGGAAAATACAACTTAGTGCTGAGTTGTGTACTCTGTTCAAATGCAGTAATTTAACTCTGTAATACTCAGGGTGTCACACCCTTGATTGAAACTGTATTTAAAGATACTACGTCTTGAAACTATATATGAGAGCTGGTTTCTAAGTAAGGTCCGTTTGTAAATACAATCTGAATCCTCGCGTATGCGTAGAAATAAGTGCGCGCATGGGTTTCTGACGTTTTTTGCATACAGTCGAAAGCCACTTGCATTCATAGTGTCTGTCTGTAGTGCGAGGCAAATATTTTTTCTAATTTATTGAAATTCTTGATTTTTCTGTTTCTAGTACTTGATTCATTTGGGCAACCTTTTTTAGACCAAACCAAAATTAACTGACATAATAAACAAAGATAGTTGACAACCATTTTTCGAACAAAGATTTCCAAGTTCAGTTTTATCCTTCAATATCCTAAGACCTTTTCTTCCTATTATAAAGCATGTATTTTACCTCCGAAAATGAAGCAAGTGAAAAAATATGCTAACAGATTTTTGTTGAGAATGATCCTAACTATAATACTATTACTTTTTTTTTTCGAACACCAGTTGTTACGTTATTTTCTTCCTTTACGTTCGTACGGGGTTCGTAGATTTGGAGTGAATAACGACGACACTTGGTGAAGTATCGAACACACTTTATTTAGCCAATATTAATCAGGACAGCTCCAAAGTCACTTTTTACAGTCGTCGAAGATCTACTATAAATACGCTGGAACAATCAGCAACACAGCCTTCAGGTTATAACGGTGGAGACATCTTCACTGCAAAGCGCCAGAGTACAGCTCCCGACTCTGCT